TCCTCGTCGTCGTGTCCGCCGTCGCAGGCGTCACCGACAAGCTGCTCGCGCTCGTCGACGTCGCCGTCGGACGCAGCCCCGACCGGCACTACCTCGAGATGCTGGACGACGTCGTCGCCGTGCACCGCGCCATCGCGGCGGCCCTGCTCCCGCGCGACGGATGCGACGCCTTTCTCGCCACCCTCCGAGCTAACACTAAGGACTTGCAGGACTTGCTCAGGGCCACTTGGATTGCGCGGTCCGCATCCACGAGGATGAAGGACCTCGTCGTGGGCCACGGAGAGCTCTGGTCCACCCAGCTGCTCTGGGCCGTCGTGCGGAGCAAGCGCCCTGCCGCGTGCTCGTGGATGGATGCGCGTGATGTTCTTGTTGCGCGCACGAGCGAGGCTAGCGCGGTGAGGAAGATCGTCGAGATGGCCAACAGCCGCCCGTTGCTCGACGACTGGCTCCTCTCGAATCCTACCAATATCGTCATTTCCACGGGCTTTGTGTGCCAGGATAAGGACGGCGTCCCCAGCACGCTGGGGAGGAATGGCTCCGATTACTCGGCCGCCGTGTTTGCCAACTTGCTCCACGCAAACGAACTCCAGATTTGGACAGACGTCGACGGCGTCTTCTCAGCGGATCCTAGGGTCGTGCCCGATGCCGTCGTCATCCCGGACATGAGCTACAAGGAGGCCGCCGAGTTGGCCTACTTTGGCGCCAAGATTCTGCATCCGGATACTATGGCCCCGATCATTGAGAGCTCTATCCCGATGCGCATCCGAAATACGTTTAATACCTCCTCCCGAGGCACTCTTGTGCACTCTGGAGACGTGGCCGCGCCCTCTGCCGCGGAAACCCAGCAGAAGCAAAGTATCCGTCAAGACATGGCGGGCGTCAAGGGTTTCACAACGGTACAGGACGTTTCCATTGTCAACATCGAAGGAACGGGTATGATTGGTGTACCTGGCATCGCTTCCAAGGCTTTCGGAGCCTTGTTCCAGAAGAGCGTCTCTGTGATTCTCATTGCCCAAGCAAGCTCAGAGTTTTCCATTTGCGTCGCAATTCCTAGTTCCCAATGCGAAGTGGCTGTCGGAGCAGTCAAACAAGCCTTCCGCGCAGAACTCGCGGATGGACTTGTCTCTTCCATCTCCCCGGTCCCAGAATGCAGTATCCTGGCTATGGTAGGCGAGCAGATGCAACAAAGGCCAGGTGTCTCGTCACGCCTCTTCTCATCGCTTACACGAGCCGGTGTGAATATCGTTGCCATGGCGCAGGGGTCTTCGGAGCACAACATATCCGTCGTCGTGAGCGCAGAGAGTGAGAGTAGGGCTCTCCGAGCCGCCCATGCAGCCTTCTACTTGTCCGATCAAACAGTGTCTCTAGGTGTCATCGGACCGGGGGTTGTTGGTGGTGTCTTTTTAGAGCAAGTCCGGAGCCAGCTCCAGAAGCTTAAAGGCAAGTTCTCCGTTGATTTGCGGGTTCGCGGGATTGCTCGGGCATCAAAGATGATCTTCGGAGAGCCGCTCTCTCTGGATACCTGGCGGAAAGAATTTGAGGGTCCGAATGCGCTACCGACTGATTTGAATGCTTTCGCTGATCGTATTCAGGATACGGCTCTCCCCCATGCTGTCATAGTCGATTGCACAGCTTCAGATAAGGTATCATCGTACTATGCCGAATGGTTGAGACGTGGCATTCACATCATTACGCCCAACAAAAAAGCGAATTCCGGACCCATGGAGTATTATCGAAGTATTAGAGCCGGTCAACAGAGGCTCAAGTCGCACTTTTTTTATGAGGCCAACGTCGGCGCCGGTCTTCCCATTATCTCGTCTATTCGAGACCTTTTGCGGACAGGGGACGAGTTTCTACAAATTGAGGGTATATTTTCGGGGACATTGAGCTTTATCTTCAACGAGTTTGACGGATCAGAACCATTTTCGGCAGTCGTTTCAAAGGCAAAAGCGAACGGATATACAGAACCTGACCCCCGAGACGACCTCAGTGGCATGGACGTAGCCCGAAAGGTTGTGATTTTAGCGCGAGAGATCGGCATAGATATTGAACTGGGCGATGTTCCTGTCAAGAGTTTGGTGCCGGAGGCCCTCACCGGCTCCGACGTGAGCATTGATGACTTCATGTCTCGCCTACCGGATTATGACCATGAGCTCACAGATATGGCCAACGAGGCGGCGAAAGCGAGTGAACTCTTGCGATACGTTGGGGTAGTTAATGCGCAAACAGGAAAGTGTGCCGTAGAACTACGAAGATATTCAAGTAGTCACCCATTTGGCCGTCTCGAGGGCTCAGATAATATTGTTTCATTCAGAACAACGCGATATGATAGTCAACCACTGGTGGTGCAGGGGCCGGGGGCCGGTGCAGACGTAACAGCAGCCGGCGTCTTCTCGGACCTACTTCGTCTCACAGGATACTTGGGGGCTCCATCGCATGAAGACTCGTGACCTGTTGCTGTTACATACAGCGATACCACGCTCTACGCACAAGAGACTGCTGTAGTGGAAAAGTAAGTTCTTGAGACAAAGATGTGTAAAGGAAGAACTGATTCCCGTCAGCGCAGGACTCGCGGTCTTCGCGAGACGAAGATGCACTGTCATCAGCTCTGTAGGTTTTGCCAGATTATTCGCAAGTCTTGTGCAATCTCTTCTCCATAACCGCAAAGTCGCTTCGTCAGCTCTCCTTCATCCCACATCCGTCATCACCGGAACCAGGTGAGAATGTGCAATCCATTAAGCATGTTCAGAAGCACCGCTCTGTTGAGCGAATGTGCACTCCTTCATACTCTATAGTCTAGATTTAAAAGCATGTGATTATCATACGCCTCGAAGAATTATGCAGTCTTACCGTCATCACCTCTTCCAGTAAAGAAAGACGAGAAGAGGGAGAACATCGCCCTAATGTTAAAGTCCGGATTGACGATGTGCCTCGCTGAATGCGAAAGGGCAAATGAGGAAGAATCTTTCAAAAGAGGCGAGTCGAATATCAAAATAGTTCAAGGAAAGGAAACCTGCTATATCTCCTTCAACGACTATATCGTGAGTCTGCACTGTCGGGCGTGTCCGAAACATCCACTCGACAATAAATCAAAACGCTTTCGCAGTGTTCCCGGCTGAGAAGTGCTGCGAGTCAAAAAGGCGGTAGCACACCGTAAGGACTGGACGTCTGTCGCGTGAAAAGTTACCGGCAGTGAAAAAAAAAGTGCTAGCAGACAGAATCGGTAACGCTGTGAGACTAAGTATGGTGGCTTCGCACCCGACGCGCGCGCCAGTCCATGTAGCTTGAAAGCAGCGCGACTACACAGTTGATGTCACCTTTGCGAGCTCGCAGACATGCTAGCAACCAAAAAGCAGCTTCGTGAACGATACGCGGTTTTTTATTCGTGGTCACATGTGTTGTCGTCCTGAAAAGAAAGCGAGACTCTTCCTCGGGGGTAACATGGACATTCTGAGCATTTGGCCGAGGAGTTGAGATGCAAAATTGTTGCTTGCGGGTCATTTTGATGATTCTGATTTCACATCGTTCATCTTTATGATGACGTCCTTCAGGTCATTCGCCTGGTCTGAAGATGTGCCCTCCTTCTCTCTGATTTCCGTAGCGACTACTGTTATTGTACTCAGGTTGTGTTTTTTCAAAGGGCGGGTCGATTCTAGTCAAGACCTGAAAGAGTTTTTTTGCCGATTTACGGATGAAAAGGCTTTTCAACCTGTGTACGTATGGACTACGGTACTACTGTACGTGGCGTTGAGCGATGAGGGGATTTGGGCTGAGCACATCTGCGGATGCCAGCAATGTCACGGCAAGATTGCAGAAATAATTACCATGCACAGGGCCCCGAGAATTTGTCAGAAACAGTGCTGTATGAATGCAAACCGCTTGTACACGTGATTGGTTGTCGTTTCGCCATCATGTGTGTTTCGGTATGCTTGCCTTCATACTGTAGTGGGATACTGTACAGGATTGACGCAGCCAGTCCTGCTCCTCTTTCCAGAAAGATGCCACATACAGCACAAATAACTAATGCACTGAGGGGATGTTAGTTCACGTTTATCGTTGACAACTCTTGAACTGCAGCAACAGAACAAATCAAAGAATATAGAGATAAAATGTTAATGCCATAGCAAAAAGTTAGAAAGCACCCCGCTCTCACTCTCCAAACCGGCATACAAATCTGCTTACGTGGTTCTATACAAAAAGGGCACGTTTACACCAGGAAACGCCTAGCCGCTTGCTACGCCCAAAGTCACGGCCGGTCCCCACGTCTGACAATCCTCAACCAACCTCTCGACCCATCTCTTGTGCAATTCCTCCGTCCACTCGGCCGTACCCCCCATTTCCAGATCAGTCATAATCTCTGTTCGTTCAAACAGCTCCTGAAAGGCGTCTGCATTCCCCCCCGGAAACATTCTGACCCTCGCCTTGAACTTGGCACTAAATATCGGAGAGATGAGCGCGAAGAGCGCCCTGACAAAACCCGGCGGGTTAACCAAATTGATCGCCGCCAACCTCACTGGCACTGTCCTCGAAAAGGCCTTTTGCAACACGCCCGGCATCCTGATGTCCAAATTACCATAAGACACGGAGCTCAAGTCGTTCACAATCACAATCCCACGCGTCTGCGCGGCCGGAAATGTTCGCAGCATCCACTCGAGCACGAAGCTAATCATCCTGGTAGTATCAGCCGCGGAGAAGCGAGTAGGGTCCTGCTTGCGCATGCGCAAATTGAGCACCGGCCTCCCCTCCCTGTCGACGTTCCCAGCGGCGAAGGCAAAGCCGGTCTCCAGCTGGGTCCTCATCGTGTGCGACGTGGCCGGGTTGACCTCGTCCGCGCGCACGCTGGCGCGCCACTGCAGGTAGTTGTCCGCGAGCGGCAGGGCGCGCGCCACGTCGCCCTTGCGCGCGCGCACGCACGCGCGCAGGCAGAAGTCGCCGGCCTTCTCCACGGGGATGTTGCCCGCGGCGCGCGCGGCGGCGCGCAGGGCGCTCACAAGGGCATCCTCCTCCGCGGCAGGCACCGCGAACGGCGTCGAGATGTCCCCCTTGGAGACCGCGGCGCGCGCGTCGCCCCCGTCGGCAGGTCCTAGCGCACGGACGGCGTGCAGGAGCTTCGCGCTCGTCCCCGCGCCCGAGGTCGTCGAGGAGAGGGAGGGGAGGTCGAGGGACATGGAGAGGGGGCAGGTGGGAGGCAGGAATGTATGGGGGATGACACGCCGGGTGACGTAACGGATGGTGAGGTGGGGCTTATGTCTGCCTCGGCAGTTGTAAATTTATTGCAACAAAAACTCATACGAGGCATGTGAGAGATCCCTGCCTGTGCAACACTTGGAGAGCCCGCGAGGGGCAAAGTCGGGTCCGACTAAGAGTAAACTCTCGATATAGTGACAAAATTTGTGGCGGCCCGAAATTGATGGCAGAGTCACTGTAGCGGGTGAGGGTGTGTCTTAACATGCCCCGTTTTGCTGCGGTTTGCTTTGCCTTGCCCGAAAAAGTGATTTGGCGTGCTATGAGTGGCTCCTACGTTTTAATTTTTGAGTTTAAGAAAAGTGGGGGCTTTCGTTGTCAGTTACAGCCGATATAACAATTGAAAACAAATCTGTGGCAACAAAGCTTATGTAAGCATGTCAGTAAACTGATATGCGCTGTCGAAGGCCTACTCTCACACCTAAACTTTCACATTTGAACATTTTGCAATCGAGGCGTAAAGTTGATGCTGGCTAGCACCGCCAATTCGAAAAAACAGTGTGGAACCCGCTTGCACAAGCTCCGCAGACACATTGCACTCCCTTTTCCCACGAGCCCTCTTCGATAATCCCTCATCACATCCCATAAGATCATCAACGATTGAAGCACCATCGCCTCGTCCAATATGGATAACTCTCCCTTTCACCGCACTCGCGGATCTCCAAGGTTGCACAAAGCGCAAGCAGCGGGGTTTCAAAACTTTTCTACACACAAGCAGCCTTCGCCTACACGATGCTTCGTTGACGCACGTCCTGTTTCTTCCGTTCCAGGCGCCCCATCACCACGGCTACAGCGCTCCGTTTCCGACCCAGATTCATTGTTTTGCACTCCGACTGCACCTACGAAAGCATCGCCACCTCCGCCTGTGAGGAGTCCATGCGTAGAAGTTAATGAGAGACAGGCACATGGAAATGACTCCTCAGTCCTATCGGGGGCTGTCATATTGCACGAAGAGGAAAACATCTCGGAAATGACCAAAGTTTATACCTTTCTGTCTTCACAAAAAGGGCGAATTGAGGAAGATGGGGCGTGTTTGGGGTTATCGCACAGGGGGTAATAAGTCGGAGCTGATCTATCAGACTTTTTTATTTCTGAAGGAGTGCCACCAGAAACGCCTAGACATCCGACAGATGATGTCGTGTAACACTCATTGCTCATCATTTGAAGACTACCTCAAGGCCCAAGAGCTGTCATGTTCAAGTTGGAAGCAGCCACCCCATCTTTCAGTGATGCGGAATGCGTTGGTGGCCGCCCGGGATAAAGTAGGAGAAAATGGGCGCCCTACAGTGGAAGTGATGCAACACTACGGGAAAGAAATTGAGCACAGGCCCAGTCCCCCAAATTTTACCATTTCAGAATTTGCGAGGCTAGTTGTTCTAATGAGGGACGATGAAAGGGTGAGAAGCGCACTTTTTAAGCTTGTTCAGGAGCTGCGGCGCTCTGAACTCGACTCAGGGAACACAAGAGATGCCTTTTGGGGTATAATTGAGCGGCGTTTTAATGACCAGTCTGTATTGGTGCGTTTTTCATTTACCGGTTATGTTGACGAGGCGGATCCCTCACTGCCCCCGCTGTGCCACCGAAGCGCAGAGTTACTTAAAATACAATTTAGGGATGCGCAGTCGGTGTTTACAGAGGCATTGGACAGGTGGAACCGCTCTGGACAAAATGATCCACACCGTTTCCAAAATTTTTTTTCCAAAAATGGGCAGGCGTTATATGCATCGTCTAAGCGTGCTTTGATCATGTTCGTCATCTCCCGGCTTGGAACGCCGTACGAAGACACCTTTTTGTGGAGATGTCCTCCAAAGCCATTTGGCAAGGTGGTTATGAGGCCAGGATGGATAGCCTCAAACGTGGCTTCACTCACGAGGGTGATGGAGGGAAAAGTGGCAGCAAAAGAAGTAAACGGGCGAGTTTGGGGCAGGAGAACAATCGAGCAAGCTCAGAGCTTGGCGAGATTGTACAGTCGTCAATAGACAGTTTGGTGAAGGTGGTTTCGAAGTCATCCTCGTCGGACAGAGGAGAACCTGGAATTGAAAACGCAACCGCGGGCCCCTTCAACTCAGCCCTGAAGTCATGGCGAGCGGATGACTCCATGTTCGAGGTCGTCGATTCTGCGTTGAAGGCTTTAGATCGAGCTAAGACTACTGACAACTCCGATTTTATTCAGATTGCACAACAGCGGTACGAGAAGGCACTCCAAGCATATCGCACAATGTTTGGATAGATTAGCTCTGCAGCTCCGCGTGAAGCGGCGCAGCGGCGATGTCATGAGGCAGCCGCGTCGCCGTGCTGTGTCTTCGTCGGTTCGGTCGTCACCAATAGAACAAACCCAGTCGGGTGCCTCACTCTCGACATCGAGGCGTCTCAAAACTT